AGATCCGGAATTTTCCTGATAACTGATATCATCGTATCGAACGATACGCGGCAAAAATTTTAAAAACGAAGTGGGAAGTTGTACAAAACGAGGAAACTGGTTAATTGGGGTTTGATAAACAGATTGCAGGATCCTTTTACACTTTAGCAAGTACCAGTCATTTTCACTGGTATTGGTATAAGTAGTCTTGATACAAAATTATTTTCAGTTTGAATACATAAAAAACAAAATAAAATTCATTATATTATTCCTTTAGTTATCGTTGCGAAAGTTATTACGTCATGGCGGAAAAAATATAACGTGAAGTAGGAATCTTAAAATAAAATTGTAAAACCGGTCAATTTGACTGGTGTGGTAGTTCTATTGTCATCATCTTATGAAACGAAAGAAACTTTTCGGACAACCTAATAAAACTGTATCGAGCTCCCTACGCGTCAGTCCTCCCCAATCTGCCTTAAAATTGAACTTATAAATTACGTCGCTGGTTTAATCGATCGCCGTTCTAACTGGCTTTCTTTGAGGCCGAGTAACGCGCAACACAATATTACGCATATTTCCGTTTCTGCTTGCGTCTCGAATAAGAAGCTTCCTGTACTCGATTTTTCCTTATAACCGTTTCTCTCTAGACGTGCAACGTACTTCTCGTATGCTGTCTCATACAGAACTAAAGCCGTCCTAAAAGAATTCAAAGGATTACTCCATTTACGAGTGTCTGAGCACTCGTAATGTCGTGGCTCGGATCGCTCAGCGAAAAACGAAGATTTTCCTCTCTCGGTAATTTACGCACCACTTTCCTTTCTCTTTCTTTTCGTTCGCAGAAACGTTCGATACAGTTGCCAGCGAGATAAATAACGCAAAACGAAAACAGACACGGGCAATTGGATTTTTTCATCTTTAATTTGTGCGTCTACGGAAAGAAAAGGCGGCATGTCAAACGGCACAGTCCGATCAGATTAAATGGTTTAGCGAGCGACAAGTTGTTAATTACTGAAACGAAGAGAGAGAAAGAGAGTGAGAGGGAGAGAAAGTGAAAGATACGAAGTTAAATACTAAGTATTAGTATGGATTACATTCACGACACAGAGCAAAGCGTATCAGATTTGCAACCCGCGATCAAATACAACTTTTCTCCTCCTTTCTCTCCGTGTGTTCTTAAAAGACCGAGCTTTTTATACCAAGCGAGTTATCTATGAGCGTCGTGGAAAACGCGTACAATATAAAATAGGCGTGCACGCGCCTGCAGGAAGTTCGAGGGAACTTGAAACACACGGGCGATCGTGGTCGAATGAATGAACGAATGCACGTCGTACGTTCACGAGTCGATGAATAAGCATTTCATCGGAATAAATGCACCGTCAGTCCTACGCTAAATGAAAAATCGTTGCGTTTAGATACTGTTACCGCGTTTTTCACCAAACAGAGGCGAGAACACGTGCGATAGATACAAACGATCGAACGTGTTGTTCTACAACGAGTTTATCGTTCGTACGCCCTCATCTATATAGAGTTTCATCAGCTGCTTTGTTTCTCCACGGTTATTGCCTCGCTTTCTATAGGGTTTCCGCTTGAAAATAGAACGAGACGTTCCTTTCGAACCTACCTATATCTTCGTACTTATATTTATCGCTGTTATTTTGAAAATGTATCACGCTGTAATTTCTCTGTGTACCGACGGTAACAACATCGATTAAACATTGTCGTTGATAAACGACGTTTATGTTGATCCGTGCCTTTCAACAATCCGGACGTTAATACAACTACGAGTTTCCACGTTTAGAGTATGAAACAGAAACAGCTGTGTCGAATGTAGTTAAAAAGATCATTTGCCGTTAGGTTGTCCCCAAAAGTTGCTTTCGTTCCATAAGACGATAATGAACAACAATTTCTGTTTTATATTATTTTATTGAATTAGGTATGATCCATGTCGTTATATTTCTATTGTTATGTTCATGCATAATTCAATAAACTAATATAAAACAAAAAACATTGTTCCACTATTTCCTTATAAAACGAACGAAACTTTTCGGACAACCTAATATCAAGTGGTCGAAATTGCAGGTAGTTGTTCCCGATATTTAAGTACGCTATCCGATATCGATAAAATTCACGAATGCGTTAAAATTTGCATAAATTTTCCAGTTGGTAGATTAAAAATACACATTGGTAAGCGATTGGAGAAATCTTTTCGCAGTCGGAATGATTTCTAACGAGAGAGCGCGTATTACGTTGTTCACCGATTTCAACGAAACTTTGTGTATAGTTAAGCAACTGTGAAAATCTCGCGTTCCATCATTTGTGTGTTATCCTGCGCGTGAAATATTCGTAAGACCGTTTATTCGTGTCACTTTACTAAGAATCGAAGCTTTGAGTATTGTTTCAATGGAATTTGCTTGGTACTGGAAGATGGACGACACAAAACAGCACCGGTTCTTTTTAATTTATTAAATCCTTAAACATTGAACATCAGATTAATTGGAAGCGCGATTATAAATTCCACCTTTGTCGTCTCTCTACCCAAAAGCACGTGTTTTCGCGTCTCCTAAAAAGTAAGCTTCAACGAACTGCTCGTAGACGTTCGTTGAATTTTAAAAAGAGTTGCAAAAGGAACGAAGACAGAAGAGAAAATTAAAGCTTTAAATAAGAAGACACGGTGTTTAATCGCGTCTCAATGTCACGCATCATCGTATAACATTTCCTCGTATGTAATAAGCAAATCACGTCATCGCGACTACTTTTCAATTCGTGAAAGATCATTTTGTAAAAGCCGCGTGGATCTCGTTATCCAGGAACCACGGGGACACAAGCTGAACCACGTAAATCAAGTTCAGTCGTTGCCAAGTACACAAAAATACGAGCTCTCTCCATCCTGTCGTACGCTACGGAACTCTTCAAACTCATAAATTCGTGGTCGGTCGATTACTCGGCTCTTACCATACTCCGACCATTTTTCCTCGCTGCTTGCAACGATTCTCTCCCCGAACATCTCTAAAAGTGTCGAGCGCAGAGCCTTCTCGATCCCTGCGAACTTCCCCATTCAGAGGACGATTTCTACAATCGGACGAGCACCGATCAACGCTCCTATGGTCCCCTCTGTGGCGTCTGGCGAGCGCAGCCGAGTCTTTATCGCGGTTACGTTCGTGGACTGCGTGCATGAAAAAGTATAACGCGAATAACAGCATGGTGAAGGGGAGAGAAACGGACAGATGGAGTGGAAAGAGTCGAGGAGGGCAAGGGAGATGGAGATAGAGGAAAAAGGAGAGGAGAGAAAAGTAGCTCGCGCGCGATGCAGCATGCAGCGTGTGTACCAGCACGGAGCGTGCACCAGATACGGGGACGGGTAGCAGGTTGAGAGGAGGCCAGCTGAGGAGAAACATCGAACGGAGAGGCCGAGTCGTAAAACGTTATAGCGCAAGAAGTAGCCTACTGGCAACAGTGGCGAGTGAGAGGGCTTTAGCAGGGCGAGAAGGGTTGAGCATGGAGGAGAAGGCAGCCACCACAGAGTAGGCGCGCACCGCTTGATCGTCGACCAAGACCTGAGAGACACTCTGCCGCAATCTCTTACGCGTGTGTTCTTTCTCTTCGCTTCTGCATAACCGTTTTCCTTCCCTGTCTTCTTCCTTTCCATCTGCCTCTTTTTCTTGCCGGCGATTCTTTTTTCCCTACCTCATAACTCTTACCTGCTTTCCGTTCCACCGTTCACTGTTTATCTCTCTTTCCTCCGGCTAGTCCTCCTACGCTCTTCATCCGTTCTTCTCTTCTTCTTCTTTTTTCGAGCTGGTCTTGTTTGACCAAGACGTTGCTTCTCTTCTCTCTTCTTATAACCCGTTCTCCAACACTCTCCTTGCCCCGGCATCGTGCACGAGCGGTGGTTTCTTCGGACTTTTTACTCCGTTCTTCGACTTACTCTTTCTCGTCTTCGATCTGTTTCTCCTACTCGCAGCGAGTCTCTGTCTTCTTTCGTACGGTCGGTTTTTCTTACGCATTGGATGGCGCGTAGCCGTAAACCTAGCCGTTCCTGCTGCGGTTCTATCGTACGTAGCAAGTGACGAGCGAGCTGTTCGTCCATTGAGACGCGCTGCATCGCCGCCGATACACCCACGCATCTATATCTGGCGCATAAATCTAGCTGCGTGGGAGTGCAGCCATCCGGGGGACGACGTATACGGGCAAAATCCATTCATGGACGTAGGACACGGGCTGGGAAGCGCGAGTATACGCGAGTATGACGTGGCGTTTTATAAGGCGGTAAAACGCGCCGTAATCAGCAGGAACCTTGAGAGAGAAGCACGCCGGGCCCGATATATAATGTGCGGCGCGACCAATCAACATTCTGCTGCAAATCTCCCGCTTGTGTGTAATTTTTAACGCGGGCATATAGGGCTTCGATGACTCGAGCACGAAGGGAGAAACAGCGATTCTTTGGGGATGGCGAAGAAACGAATCGAGGCAACGGGGCTCGCCTTTCGTTCGTCACGGTGTTAGTCATCGCTTCCGATCGTTATCGTTCCACGGAATCGCCGTTCTCCAAACGTAATCGGCCAGGGGATGATTTATCGTCGGCTATTATCGTGGGTAAATGGAGGTGCGTTTGACGAGAAGTCGGATTTAGATTTTGAGTAAATTATGCGCGAAATTGGCGAAATAGACCGCGTGTAACCTTGCGTGCACTGTACGCGTTATAATAGTCGTCGAACTAGACTCGATGACGCGTAACTAACTCCACGTTCCGTTTAGCTTCGCGCTAATCATCGTTTCTTCGTTTTTTCCTTGCGATCGTTCCGCTTGCGTTTCACTTTGTCTTCCGACGATACAACGTTTCAAACGTTTTACAGTTTCCTCGTGTACTTTCTACAATTTTTATTTTATCGATGAATTACACTTCTTAGCACGACAGGATACATATGTCGTGTGACGAGAACAGCGATACAGCTGTAATGGACAAGAGGCGGCAGATTTGTGGTGGAGCTACTTTCTCAAGAAATCCGTTTGATCTGTTTCAGGCGAGGTGATTGGCCAGCGGTTCCTAGGAAACGAGAGCCACGTGGAGCACTTCAAGCTCCTAGAGCGCGCGACCACTTCTATCCTGATTGGCGCCAGGTAATTGTTACGTGATTCGATTCTTTACCGATCGTTGCTGCTGTTGGCGCGCCGCGCCGCCAAGGGTCAGCAGATGGTCATCGGCTATATTCCCGTCGTTCGATCCGGGTTCCCGTCGAGTCACTCCCTCGATTACGCGGCACCAAGCCCGATGACGCGGTTCCACCCTCGCACAACCCCTTGTGACGTGTCCTCTTTCATTTTACATGAGTCGTATTCCCTTGGATCGATCCGGCCCGACCACCACCGGTCTTTTTCATATGAAATAAATTGCTTTCAATTACCGACACGAGCGAATAGAACGGAAAAAACGCGAGGCAATTGTCGAGGTGTACCGTGATCGTCTCCTTTCTACCTTTCTTTCTTCCTACTTACCACCTGTTCTGTCTTGCATTCTTCGTCGTTCGTCGAGTCTTTAACCCTTTCGCATCTGTGAACGAGATCGTTTTCGCGAAACAGTGTGGCGAAGCGCTTCGTTTCCGACGAATAAACGTTGACGGTTAAAAGCGAAATCAATTGTCGTCGCGTGGGCTGACTCGAGAAAGTAATTATAAGTAATCGAGTTAGGAAATGCGTAATTTTAAAATTGTCGCAGTGAAGATATTTAGGAGAAGATAAAACAGCACTGGATTATATATTTTAATAATTATCACGTCGTTGTGGGTACTGTTGTTGTGCTGCGAGGTAGCTTGACTCAATTAGATCTCGAGCTTATTAACGTTTATCAGAATACAATTGCGTCATGTTAATAAAATGCAATAACGTGGACGATATTTCGAAGCGTAAATTTTAAAGCATTTCTTAAATTAATATGTAAATCGATTGAAATTTAATTAAATCGAATTAAAATTAATCGAGTTAATTTATCATGCATTATATATTGTAATAAGATTCGCGTGGAATTTTAAATAAATATTAATATAATAACAAATTCAGTAATGCCAATTAATTTCCTTTGATTCTTATTTTTCACTTTCCCGTAAATTTCAAAAGGTACAGGTAACTGTATCAGAAATTTCGCAGCACTTTAAATATCGAATTTTTTTACAATCACAAAAGCTCAGGGTGTTTTGCGATAAATGTTCGCGGTAAAGGAAAGGTGTGTAATCGGTGAATATGAAAAGGATATACATACGTACATACGCGGAATAAAGGCGATATAATCGATATATCGATTATATCGAACCTTTAGTACGGCCAATAACTGGCAAGATGAGAAGCGCGAAAGTACCTATGAAAGAGAAGAGAAAGAAAAAGCGAAGAAGAAAATCGTAAATCGTAATGGCCGCACCGAAGACCACTGAATTTCGGCAGACTATATTTTACGTTTTCGAGTTTCACCGGTGATGTATTTCCTCGCTATGGACCGCCGTATTTCGCTGCTTTTAACGCGTTCTTAACGCTTTTCTAGCGTGAATATTTTTCACTTTAAAGATTAAAGTCTGTCGAACAAATGGCGAAAAGCACGAAATAAAAGGAAGATCGAATTTTCCAAGACTAAATTTTTACGCTTCGAATTGCGTGCTTTTACTCTCTTGAATACGACCTTTCTCTTGATTCCATTAATCTCTTTCCAGTTTTTACATCTTTCTTATCTCTATCGTCCGGTTAAAAACTTCAGCTCATTTTCAGTTTTGAATCGTGGAAAAGTATGAAGGAAAACTGTTTTTCAAGGACGTAACTCATTAAAGATATTAACCTTCGATATTAACCTCGAGAATAACAGACGAAATTAACACGTTGTTCCGTGCGAGAGGTAAAATAAAATTCTTTTTTTAAACAGACGAAAGATGTGTTTGTGAAGAGATAGAAACTCAATACTGGCAAGTCTCCGTTAAGATCGCCTCTCTAATAACTTCAATGATGAGAGTGGAAACAAAAGAAAATGCGAGAGGCAATTATCCCAGCGACCTCGAGTTTTATCAACGCAATGCTGGCCAATTGTCTTTAAAATAGACGTTGTATTATCCGCGATAGTCGTTGCATCGCGTAATCGTGGATTTTCTCGAACGACGCGACGACGATGTCACAGAGTCATAAATTAGTGATAGAAAAACCAACTGAGTCTAACGAACATCCCACAGACCATCGAAACAACAACGTAGAGAGTGTGCAGTGTCAGAAAACAGTAACAGCATGGCCACCTCTGACCTGTGCCCTGCGACACCTTCGACGACATCCTCCTCATAAGAGCCAAACCCATGGTATATAAACTTTCCCAAAATCAGCTCTCCAGACACTCTGTTCTAACATTCTTGACACATTGTGTACGACGCTCCCAGGGCCCGCACATTTTTGAACAGTCGGGCACACTGATCCAGAAATAGCAGCCACATTACTACAGGAGCACATCACAAAAATAGAAAAATGGCTACGAGATAAACAAATAAAAGCAAAGCCCAGTAAATGCAAGCATATTACATTTATACTAAGAAAATGGAAAACACCAAATATCCAAATGAACGGCACGCACATAACACAAAGAAGGCAAGTTAAGTACCTAGGACTTCACTTAGGCACACAACTTACGTGGAAGCAACGTACTAAATCAATTATAGACAAAATACATCACCGGTATATACATCAGCTCTTGACATTCTCTCTGTTGGATTCATACGATAAATTTTCCTACTATATCTAAAGTTCAATTCTTTACCTTATTTGTGAAATACGAGATCACCGGTGATCTGTCAATTTCGTGATTTCTTGTGTCTTTTACGCGACACTGCCACAGATGCACAACTATAGGCAAAATTCACTGCAGTGGCACCGACAGTTTCTTGCGAATATCTCGGAATCTGAAACCGAGCGATGGTTACATGCAAAGGTATAAAATATAATAATAAATATATAAAGTAATATAATAAATGTATATAGTAATAATAAAATAAATAATAATAATATAATTAATAATAATAATAATTATAGTAATAGATAATAATAATTAAATTAATAACAGTAAATTAATAATAGTAATAATAATATAAATATATAAAGTAATAATAATAAATATACAAAGTAAAGTCGGCTAGAATGGTATGATTCCAAACATTACGCAAATTTTTAGCCGATGGCATATTTAAGCCCAATAAATCAATTTCGTGATTTCTTGTGTCTCCTACGTGACAACAACGACGATGCAACAATACGTTTCTAATGGAACGTAACGCGTGATTTCGATGTGTGGCAGTATCGAACGCTACAGATGCAATAACGAGTCGATATCAGCTTGCGTAGTGTACGATTCAAGGTTTGCAATTTAGAGCTGCGGACGATTGGTATGGCAGTTGAGCGAATAAATCACGCTCGGTAGTTACTCGCTGTTTTAATGTAACAGTTATTACTACGGTGTACGTTGGATAATTTGCTCGGCTAACCGATGTAACAATAATAACAAGCCCGACGCTTTGCCTTGTTAACTATCGTAGAGGCCATTATGAGGAGGCGGTACAGAAACTTGGATCGTAAGTCTCTGTTTTTCCAAACAATTCCACATCGACCTAGATTTTTTTTTTTTTTTTTATTTAGTTGTTTACATTCGCAATTTGTCCGATTTGAACATTTGGTAGAATTTTTTGGCCGTTTGATCATCATGTGGGTGGCTACCCCCAGCGGGGTACCCGATCTAGATTAGCTCGAAATTTTCCGGTGCAAGCTTCGTTTGAACTTTTCCTTTCGCGATTACCGCGTGTCTCGGTGATTTCAATGGTAGAAAGTTGGAGCTTGTGAATGGGGCACAGATATGATAATGCTCATTATATTTTAATGTATCGTTGTTTCATGAGAAACGAGATGACGGTGTCTGCTGGCGTTCGTATCTGATCGTTTGGGAATCATATTCAAAGGATTTCTTCTTTCGTGGAAATTTCTATTAACTTCGTGTCTTTTCAAACGTTGGGAAGCGAAACTGTGATCGCGCCAAGGAGGCGTTTTCAGAAACGCAACGTTTGCTTGGAAGAAGTTGTTAATCGACGCGGTAACGTGCTTTTTCTTTTCATGCTTTCGTTATAGAGTCGCTACGTGTGCATTCGGCGTTGCGTTTTATCTCCAACGACTACGGAATTGGATTGCAGAAAGAGAAAGAAAAGATAGGAAGTAGCGATGTTATACCCGTAAATCGATTCTCTTTGATCACGTCGCAAACTTGCGTACATGTTCTTACGAAGATTTAAACTCGTTCTAAGCTGTCGGACGTAACTGTCGGTTAGTAGAAAATTATTCGAAGCGAACAAATTTGCGACCACAACGCAGTCATACAATATCAGTCGGTGCTGCTGTTTTAGTATCGTATTATATTAGTATTATTATTAAATATTTAACGCAAATAGAATAGTGTGGGGAAAACGGTTCGTTAAATTTACCAAATAAATCTGATTACGTGTGATTACGTTAGCAAATGAAAAAGTTACAATTACAGGAAATCAAGATAACTGAGGACTATTTGAAGACGCGATCTTTATCGTCCATAATTTAAAAAATAATAAGAGATAGAGATAAGAGAAGACAATTTAGTAAATGATATTTGATGTTAAACACGTGATTGCTTGAAACGAATGCATTCAATTACGTGTTAATTATTCGGCTAATCGTGTCGATATCGTGCAACAATAACCACGGTGTGCATAAGCACGCGTATTGTCCAAGTAACATAAATTTTTGTGTCGCTGTTATTTTCATTCGGATTGAATGACTTTATTTTTCCGCTGTAGTTCGAGTATCGTGTGGCGTTTTCAGATAAAGCGATGCTTTTGTCTCGCTGATATATAGTTCGAAATTGCACCGGTGTTAACTTCAAAATAACTTTTATTTTTCCACCCAACGTGTATTTTTTCTCCAGTTTCCGTGCGACCATCTTTCAGTACTGCGATCGCAATTAACAACGGGAACATCTACATCGCGTTTACCACGAGATTATAAACGTAATAATACTTTTTTAACACTTTGACTGCCACGTTTTCTCCTGTGACGCCAAGGTGGTCATTAGTGACCGAAGCGCTTGAACTTTTAACAATTGTAAAAATTGAATGAAAATTGACAGTTAGAGTATTTTGAATATAATCGATAAATAGAAGATACTTTGAAATAAAAAGTGGCCCATTGAACAATTAAACATTTTTATTAGAACATCAATAAAAAAAAAACGAGAACAAATCTTGCATCTAACGGTGCACTGTGTTAAAACACTTTAAACATAAATGTGGTCATCGATACAATCTGGACAATAGGCGGTCACCTTTTTGGTCCGATTCTTAGCAATTTTTGATTCTAACTGCTTAACATTTTTTTATGACACTCTGCAAAATTTTCCTGTCAGGTACGCTTGCCCTTCTTTCTTCTGCATTTCGTGTCGCGATTTTTGTCGAATAAGTATATTTGACGACTCTGATGAATGGCACTGTGTAAGGTGCATTACGAATGCCATTCTAAAATCAGATACCTTGATCTTTGTTTTTGTTGCTTATTTATAGAGTATCATCGCGTTTGAAATTGATGTATTTAACAATAACTGTAAAGCTAATTTTATATACCACTTGAGGGTTTTTCTATGTGGTGTAGAATATGCTACCATTTGATCTGATAAATCTACAGCACATTTTCCTCCGTTGTAATCTACCGCTACCATTGGTTTATCACAAACATAATTTTCTTCGCGGACCTCTACCATTTCAGCCTAATATCTTCTACACGTTTCAACAATATATTCTGCACGTTTTGCTTATGACGAAATAACGAATGCGAATGTTTTGTTGAAATAAACGAAACCTCGTTATAATATGTCGCTATCATCTGTTACCAAGGCACCAGGGTGGTCAGCCGTGACCACCAATCAGATAAACGGTCCATTGGGGAAGAATGTTGTCTTGCATCATCAATTTATTATTACTTTGCCATTATATGCTTTGAATAATAAAATGTAATTTCGTCGTGGCAGTCAAAGTGTTAAGGAAATTACATATATTAAAGTGAGATGTAATTTGTAACGTACCTAATATTTTTGTAACAAATGAACTCTATTACATGTATATACAATAAGAAAAGAACATAAATAGAAGCGTGTAAATTGTATCTAGGCACGCTATTATATTTTTCTCACAACGTGTGTGTAGGCGCCACGGTGGTCAGTCGTGACCACCAATCAGATAAACGGTCCATTGGGGAAGAATGTTGTCTTGCATCATCAATTTATTATTACTTTGCCATTATATGCTTTGAATAATAAAATGTAATTTCGTCGTGGCAGTCAAAGTGTTAAGGAAATTACATATATTAAAGTGAGATGTAATTTGTAACGACGTGGCAGTCAAAGTGTTAAAAGGTAAATGTGGTGATCATCGAACCTTATTACCTGTCATCCATTTTCAATTTATCGGTACATAATTTCTAAATCATTTTTTCGATGGAACTAAGGCTACTGAATTAATTAGTATTATCTTATTACACATCCAATTTTTGAACTAATCTTATTTGTCGAAAAATATCGTCCATTCTTTCGTTGCATACTTCGTACTACTCTCTTTAAAGTAATAAAAACAAGTGAGTTGCAAAAATCTGGAGATTGGCCGAGCGATTAGACCATTAAGGAAAAGTGGCAAGCAACTTCGTCGTTGCGATTAAATAAACTAATTGCAGTGAAACGCGGCTAAACGAAGTTTCCAAGTTGCGTTACGTGTGACATATTAAAGGCGATGCATTAGGGCTGGCTTAATACCTGTTCTAACTTAATATCGAACTTAATTAATTTAGCTTGAAACTTATCGCCTCGCGTCTAGTACAAACACGTTTGATTGAAAATCAAAACGTCAAAGATAAAGCACTTACATTTTTAATTCGATTGAAAAGTCAATTTATCTTGCTCGCGCTGTTCAATGCTGTTCCAAAATGGTCTACAACTTGATAGGACATTCATATTTCAAGATAATATCCTCTTCAAAGAACTTACCTGGATTGCACTTTAGGTAGATGTTCAAATAGCAATCTTAAGCAAGATTGGGACGAAGAAGGGATTAATATTTTGTAAATTTATGGCCTATGGCGTTTTATGACTATACAGACACGCGAAAACGTTCTGCCTCTCTGTGTATCAGCAGCAGTCAGTCATACAACAGCAGACTGACTAAGTATTTGCGCTTCGGGTAAAAAAAGATGTAGGACACGATCGAATCAAAGGTGATTCATATTTCTAGTATCGTAAACGACGCGACATGACGCGATTCTTTTATTATTCATCAACATTCCTGCTGTGCAAAATGTTCTTAGAAATAAGAGCTTCGCTTCTTCTCTCTCTCTCGGTGTTTAATATTATATTTCAGCGATTCGTAATTCGAATACTTAACCGGAGCAATTTTTTCGAAAGTAAAGACTCTTTTTTTCCTAAGGCAAAAATCTATACTTCACTCTATACTCGAAACACTCTCGATCCAAGATCTCGGACAAATGCGGAAAGGAAAGGACAAATCGAGGGATCACGCCGAGGTCAAAAGTTTATTCCTGTTTCATGAGAAGCATCCGAGCGCTTTTACTCGATTTTCAACCGTCGTTGTTCCATCAGGCTGATCGTAATTACTAATGTTTATCCCGCGTCCAACTCGAGATCGTTCGAGGGCGAAAGAATGCGAGATACGAAGAGATTAGGCGAAAGATTTACGAGGCAAACACTTAACGTTACGTATCGTGTTTTTTCTCTGTTTCAGGAACGCCATTTACAACATAAGCCTGCACGACCTAACGGAGATCGTCGATCAGGTGAGTGAAATGTTTAAAAACTCGAAACTCGATGAAGAACGATCCAATGAATTTGGATTACGTTGCTCTTCTTGAAATTCGTGGAGGGCGGATGATCGTCGCAAAGGCATCGTAGAGCGGTTCGTCAGAAACTGGAACAGATTCCTATTGCCAGATTCCAAATTACAGTTTTATCCGATTTATATGTAGCAAGTGTTTTTAGTACCGCGGAATAAATACGATCATCGCTATTCCTGTGCGACAAACGCGATCGATAGAACGTTATTCGCGTGGAATAACGTCCATCTACTCGCGTACTATCAACAATCGGAGCTTGGAAAAATTCGTTCCAACGAACACTCGCTGATTTTCCTCATTGAAAATGGACAAAGTTCGAGATTTTTTCGTGAGTCGCACGATTCATCGAACGTTTTCTTCAATCTTTCTGTTTGCAATTTTTCTATAGCCATTAGATTCAGTTAGAATCAAACATACGATGATCATTAATTATTCACGTTGTAGTACCACGTCAGAATAATTTACTTATAATTCTCAATGAGAATTGATTGTAAACTGCTTTCAAATAAAAAAAATTTCTTTCTATAAAAAAGAAAACGTTCCAACGATCGTGCGAGTTATCGCGTATCTTCGTAGAAGATCCTGGACATAGAGAGCGGCAAACGGTAAGCCGCGAAGCAAGCGATGGCACAGCCAATGCGAATTTTGCTATTACTTGCCGCTGTCTGTACGTCCACTGCCCAGGGCCAAAAAATTTCGCTCGTGAACATTGCGCGTTTCTACTGGTGGATGAAAATAGGGAAGAAAAGAGAGAAGAAGATAAAGATACTTGGGAAAAGAGGGAGTTTCCTCCTTGCGCTAAAAAATGTAAAATTAGCCGAGCAAGAGCGCGAATAAAATTTGCATGATAATAGGTGTTTTTCAAATTGCGCGTGTAATCCGAGCAACTGGAATTCCTTTGCAAAGAGCAAAGAACCGTTGATCGACTTCCGCCACGACTAGACTTTCTATCGTCTTTCTATCGGCTTATTTCACCGATTTCGCGCGTCCTATCGATCAAACCGAGTCTTGCCATGGTGGAGAACAAGTGGATCGTCGTAATGTCTCCTGTGGCCGCCTGAAATCGATGTAACACCCGCACGGGAGGTGAAATGGAAGCTGCAATCGCAAACTGGATATCGGTTCCGCAGCGAGAGGCACGTGAGTTGCGAAACTGCTAAGGGAATCGAAGAAGTAGCTTGAGAGATAGAGAGATACATAGAAAAAAAAAGGGAAGGATGGAAAGAAATCGATGCGACATGTTCGTTGGCCGTAAGATTCGGTCGTTTGGGAGAGAATGGTAAAAGTCAGCGAGTTCTTGAGCCACGATTCGTTTGCCTTTATAGCTCATTCGGTATATCGTGATCTCGAAACAGTGGCACGCTCGATAGTTCCTTCGATCCGCTAAATTTAAACGTTACGAAAATAACACAGTCGACGACGTGGCTATTTGCTCATAACGGATCTCGTATGTGAATTCTGAAATCCAGCAAACACGTACTCGGTTTTATCAATAAACGAAATGTAAATTGATCCACTCTATCCGTCTTTCTATAATGATCGATTCGATACACTTAGCTTACGACCACGAGCTTACGCGTCATCGTGCAGCTCGCTTGACAGAACGGTGACACGTATTAATCGACGTTTCTATCCGTGGACCGTAGGCCTCGTGCACGCTGTAACAGATTGCAAGCGAGTATTCTTACGCCGCGCTGATAGCGGAGCCGCGAGATGCGCGCGTAAGCGTTTCACGATCCACGCAATCGAATTTACTTTCATTGATATGGACGACGGAAATCGGCGTGAAAGAAAGTAAAAAGGTTCCCTTTCTGGAATTGCTCAGCAATTAATTTATAATTTTGTCAGAAGATTGATGAAAACGTTTCGCTTCCTCTTCCAACGTAGACACGAACGATCCGCAATTTCGCAAACATTCAACCGTATTTTTTACATTTTCGCCTTGTATATTTCTAATATTACTTTCTGCAGTTTAGTAAATTTTACGTGAATCATATTCCGAATCTTCTCGGAAAGAACGTCAAGTTAGTCGCGCGATCCAAGGATTTACCATTTTTTATTCATAATCGATGAATAGATAAAACAAGGAAAGAAATGAGATGCAATGGGATATCTAATAATGGAATCTGCATAAAATTGACGATCTCGATGCTCGAAAACCATCTTGCGTGAGTGAAAATTACGATATCGAATTACCAAGAAGTGCTAATTAATATCTGAAAGCATAGCGCCAACTATGAACTGCTTCGTTTCCGATACGTTCGGGAATTGTACGTCGATTATATCATATTCTCCTGTAGTTCCTATAGGTCGACATTTTCGCGGTACGCTTTAGATTTCGCGGTTGCGATATTTACAGAAACAACTTCGTCTTGCAGAAATGGATTTCCAGATAAATTCACACCGTCCGAAATATCGACGCACCTTTCAATCTGATCTTCTATTTGCGCAATGCTAAATTTATTTCGATACTTACTTGCTACGTTCGACCTATATTTCGAGAATTATCAGTTCAAAAGGGCAAAGACAGCGAATATCTTCGTTCGACTTTTAATCGACTTTTTAATTCAGCATGCGATCTTCGAGATGTCGATGCTATTTATTTAACACTTTTTATTAGTTGCTGTCGTGCAAACGTATCATCCATTAGCGTGCAAGTGTTAAAAAAAGCGTTGATCGACGTTGTTATTGATACCTGCCTCGGTTGTTTGACGACGACGAACGGTAATTGACACTTCCGTCTACGAGTTTCAATTACAATTATCCCTATCGTCGGATCAACTAACCGATCGATCGAATCATTTACGTTTCGTTCGAGCTGCTGTGTCAAGTCTATGATTGTCCCGCTTTTATGCGCCGCGATAAAACGAGTACGAGTATTTCGAGTACAATTATTTTGAGTAGACAGGTTAAAGCCGAGCGTGGCTCTTCAAATTTAATTCGATGCGACACTAGGGTTTGATCTTTCTGAGAGCTGATCATCTTTAACGCTACAACTACCACGACACTCAAAACCACTGTTTTTACAATTTTATTTTAAGATTCCTACTTCGCGTTACATTTCCTTTTCCGCAACGATGTAGTTACTTTTGCAGCGGTAACCAAAGCAATTATACAATTATCATTTTTGGTAGAAACAGCTTCGTCTTAACTGTCGGTAGTTCTAGTGTTAAGTTGAATGCGAAGCATCGACGATCAGCACATTGAAATTATCCGAACTGTGATCGGCGACTCGAATACGATAGAAATACAAAACGTTACGATTTGTAGCCTTTTTCTTGAAGTTCTTCTACGTTTACGTTGCAGCTGCGCTGAACGACAAGATCGCCGATGACCACGAACCGTAGAAATACATGGAATTGTTTTATAATAGAAGCATATAACGGAATTGCATGTGTTTCTATGGTTCGCTCTCATCGCCGCTCTTATCGTTCATCGCAGCTCCAACGTAAACGTACCCTAACTTCGATAAAAAGTCCGCCGCTAGATGAAGCGAGCCGGCCGTTGTAGGAAAAACGGGCAACGGTTCGTTCGTTCAATTTGTTCGTACCGATGTAATATTTCATGGAACGACACCGACGATGTCGACATTGTTCTATGAAACGCTGTATAATATCTACCCATACGCCTATATTCTATATTGGTTCTTCGCTTTCAAATTAACCGTTTTAGTGCCAGAGGTTTTTAAAACACTAGAACCACTACACCAGTCAAATTGGCTGGTTTTACAATTTTATTTTAAAATTCCTACTATTTCTTTTTTTTATTTTTCTATTTGGGAGAATTTCACAATCAATTCTCATTGAGAATTATAAGTAAATTATTCTGGCGTGGTACTATAACGCGAATAATAAGTAATTATGCTATGTTTGATTCTTGCTGAATCTAATGTTTAAATCTAGAGGATAATTTCTTTTTAGCCTACGGATCTGATACATCGGGTCAAGTAATTATGTAACTAATGGGTTTTAGCGGTTATTAACTCTTATGTTATATCTATTACTGAATTTGGATATTTCTTCTTTAACTGTAGGTATCTTAAGGTCGCGATGTATTGTTTCGTTGGTAACATACCAAGGTGCGTATTAAGAATCTTAGAGTTTTTGATTGGAATCGTTGAAGAATTTCTATATTGGAATTACTCGCTGTTCCCCATAGTTGGATCCCATAGGTTCGAACAGGTTTAAAATTTCTACTTCATGCTATATATTTTTTCCGCCATGACGTAATAACTTTCGCAACGATAACTAAAGGAATAATATAATGAATGTTATTTTCTTTTTTATGTATTCAAACTGAAAATAATTTTATATTAAGGCTACTTATACCAACACCAGTCAACACGACTGGTACTTGTCAAAGTGTAAAAGGATCCTGCAATCTGTTTATCGAACCCCAATTAGCGAGTTTCCTCGTTTTGTACAACTTCCCACACGTTTTTCAAATTTTTACTGCGTATCATTCGATATGATGATATCAGTTATCAGGAAAATTCCGCATGATAACATTAGAAATACCACACCAGTCAAAATCACTAGTTCTACAATTTTATAAATGTGTCAACCCTCGTTTAGGGATCATGGTCCAAGATGGATTAATAACACCAAAAATGTACTACATAACATGGAATTCCTTTTGTAAGAAAGC